TGGCTGTTCTCCTTTCCACTTCATCTTCTTTTCCAACAATTTATCTGTTAAGAAGATATGATTTGTCCTTTCAAGGTTAGAAAGGCAAACAAAGGTCAGGTATACACCTGCTATATATAAAATAGTTCTTTTACATACATAAATACTTCTCCCACTTAAACCATTTGTTCCAATTACTGAGGTCTATGAACTGCTGTTAAAACTGTCCTTTGAAAAGACAAAACTAACACCGGATCTCGCAATTTTCCCATTTTTGTCATCCTAACCAACAAACGCTACCAACCAATCAAACATGATTCAGTCATTTCTGCAGATGACTTAAATTGATCCACTAAGAGAAGGTATGTAATTAATACTTCTAGGAATCTAGGACAGCAATTTATTTGGTTATATCATCAGGCTATCCAACACTGTAACATTTACTCTGTTCATTTAATAGGGTATCATACATTTAAAATGGATGCATTACCTAGCAAGTTAAAACTTAGCAAAGCATTATCAATTCTAAGAGATCTGAGAAATATTTAACTTTATCTCTGATTAAAATTATTATCAGCAGGGTATTTTTCAAACTTTGGAAGAAACTTTGCAAAACAAAAATGCTAATGCTCCTGCTTTTGGATCGAGGTGAATTTATTTTTAAAGCTTTCTTTAATAAGCAGAATGTAAATCTCAATATTGTAAGCTCTAGAAGAAAAGCTCAGACTCCTCCCAGGAGACATTCTCTATGTATTCTACCAAGGAGAGAGTGTCATGTAAATCTCTAGAGAGGAAGATTCAATAAAGTTTTAAGTTTTTTTCCTTACACAAGGCCAAATAGCACATAGTACAAACTGAAAGAGAGTTTCTGACTCTTTTCAGACCACTGTATTTTTTTTGAGGCTACAGTTGGATTTTAAACATTTGTTTCCTCACCTCAGCAAGCCTGCTGTAAAACATAGAGTAACACGACTAACTAATTTCACGTGATACCTAACATCTGAAAAAAGCACATCACAAAAAGTATGACAAACGACCAGCTAAACAATATTTTAACAAGAATGAATGTTCATGTTTTTGATAAATTGCCAATTGCAGAAATGGAGCACCTGCACATGCCCATACTCTGGAAGAGAAACCAAGAATGCCAACACAAGCCAGATGGTGTTTTCTTTTATCAACAAATATTTTCCAAACATTGACTTTTTCTTTTTCAGAAAGGTAGCAAGATCCATAAAACTGACGATTTAACAATTGACTACTAAACTTACAACAGATGGCTATATCCTGCATTACTAACAGTTTTACTACTATTTGCTCAAAAAAGCTGCACATATTACATGCACTGCACTTTAGTTCTAATTTTATTATGCTTCGATGAATATTTTCATCAACAACCTCTTATGTGCTTGTTGGGCAGATCAATAATTAATGTGGTGATAGTTAATATTATCTGATCACGCCACTTAAAGTATTAGGATACATATCCACCTAAATGGATAAAAACAAACAAACAAACAAAAACAAACCAAAAAACAAGATGGCTAATTTAAATGTTTGTTTGCACTTTCAGTATTTATGGCAGAAATCTTGCATGACTCGTTGTCAGCAGCAAGTTGGAAGCTTTAGCTCAGCTAATGCCAGCATCATGGACTTGAAAAAAGATTGTAGTTTTAGTTTGCTGATTGGATCAATCATTGAACAGACTGCAAAAGACAGAATGAGCCTCAAACTAAATTCATAATATTTCCATTTATATACAGAATAGGATAGGAAAAAGTGTTCCATAAATCATTATGTGCAGCTATTATAAAAATTGCCAGAGTGTCTTTTTTTTTTTTTTTAAATAACCATCTGCAGCTATGGTGGCTTAGAATGATCTTAACGTTCACTTGAAGGCACTGAAAGATTCAGCTAGTAAAATATTATGCAAGAAACCATCCTGGAACATGAAACTCCAGGAAGTGTCAGTACAATCGATATTCTGTTCATCGCCAAGGAAGAAGTTCTTTAAATGAATGAATGAATGAATGAATACCAGTTGCTTACTACTAATATGTCTAAGCAATGTGAATCAAGAACAACTTGCCTTCAATATTTACTAGGTCATTAGAAGCCTGAAAGGACAGACTATACATCTACTTTGCAAGTCCTGAAGAAAATTATAGCTATATCAGTTAGAGTTGATTTCTAATACAAAATTTGTTACTGAAAACAAGTGATGGAAAAGAAAAAGAAGAGAAGATAAAGTGTGGAGAACTTCTTGGTAACAGCTATAGCTGGATGGCAATAAGTATTCAAAATAACCAAAGCTAATACCATACTGCAGACAATTGGAAGATAAATTCCACGCTCAACTAATGAAAAGTGTCTGGTTTTACTGTATCTTTCTTTACAGCATGTAGAGAGTTACATCAAATATACACCCCAATATGTTCTAGCTTTTTACCTTTAGCCTTTCTTTTAAAGTATTTAAAACATATTTCTTTATTCCCCCAAACCAAAGGACCCCAAAATCTTTATTTATGCATTTCTCATTAATTTTCAGGACATCCTCATGAGCCAATACTTACAAATACTTGTTTGTTAAATTCATATCCCTTTTCTTCTAGATTTCTTAACATCTTCATTCATGATTTTTAGAATTTGTTTTGTCTTCAGAGGGATGCCAGTATCCGAAAACATTCAAGAAATAATGATCTCATTAGCTTAATTACCTCATATTGACTTGATAAGTCACTATGCTTTAATGCAAAATCTGCCACTATAACTAATGGCTGTAATTAGGCATCCGCTTTACATTAAATATGCAAGGAAATTTTATGCATCTTACAGTAACTCGGTGGAGAAGTCTTGTCCCAATGGCACAAAAATCTGAAGTGTCAGAAACTGCTGGATCAGTCCAACTGAAAACAGATAAAAAGAAATTAAACGTGTGCTCTGTGTGTGTACATGAACACTTCATCAGGAACATTGACGATGTACAGCTATAATGCTTTAACACTATATCCCAAGGTTCACAAAACACACAAACACAGAAAAAAACTTTAAAGAAAACCAAATCAAACTGTAACAACAATGTTGTTATAAAAGTCCTATCTCGGATCAAAGTGGAAATCTCATTAACATAAATGGAACCTATTCTTTTGCTTGGAATTCCTCAGTGTGCTTCAAGAGCACGTAACAGCACGGAAAAATCTTGTTGATAGAAACGCTATCCAGATCATATCAACAGTGCTCAATGGAGGCTTCTGATACTTAGACCAACATGAATGTAGCTTAACTGAGGGAACAACATGGAAAATCTTTTAGCTTCCCATTAAGAAAAAACGGTGCAAGACTGTCTGAATTGATTTTTTTTTTCTCCCCCTCTTAGCGATTGGTTCAGGGAGGGTATGAGCTGCTCTTTAGTGACTAAACAGGACTTAAGCAACATTATTTCCTCTTCTGAAAGATGCCAATTCAGATGCTCCTTCTTTTGTGGGTAGAATGACACTAACTACATTTTGAATTGTATTTGTATACTTTCTGACTTTCATTTTGGAAGAGTGTTCAAAAACTGCAGTACAGCTGGCAGATTGTTTATCTGTGATAACTAAAATATTTGAGGCATATACACCTGAAGAGAGAAGGAGACAAAGAGACAGTGAATTATAATGGATAGAAGTATGACTATAGTACTGCACCACCAGCTAGAGTTAATTTAAAACCAATCTAGTCCTAGCAGTGATAATCCACAGCACTAATTCTCAATTCTCATTTTAGATTGCAATAGTTTAATATTGACAATAAAAAAAAAATAAAGTTGGATTTCCCAGAAAGATTCATTAGTCTAATATATACAAGACTGAAGAGAATACTAAATTTCTTCTACAAAAATCAAATAAATCTTTAAGACTTTAGTGCATGACCAAACTTTTCAATCTCTCATTTATTATTTTTGTGTATGCTTGCAAATTGAAACTAATTTGTAATTATAAGAGTCTTGCATTATATAAGAAGATTCCTGTTGCAGTCAATTAAAATCACCATCTCTCTTTTTTCTCCGCCAAAAGCAAGCAGTTAAATCTTAACCAGTCTGGTTCATTACTACAAGCCTCAAGCAAGTACAACCTGTGCAGTAGAATTTAAGGAGTAAGTTATGATTGTAGTTGTATGCCCTGCAGATGGTTCGGACATCATCTCCTCAAAAATGTATTTTAAAGGAGAGTCAATAGTAATAGGAACCACCTCCGCAAGAGTATAATGAAAGGCTTTCCATCTCCAGACTTGTCTGTAACAAATGTATGTACTGGAGTTTGTTTACAAGAGCTTATGATCACAGTAATACAATTATTTTAATTCTTAAAATAAGTAAAAATGAACTCATGATATCCTGCTAATATTTTGGACTCAAAGGATCATTGATTGATTGACTTTAATGAGTGTTGAATGAGTTGAAATTTATCTGCCCTAGGTCAGCCTGTAGCAGGCTCAGGTACAGCAGTGAACTGAACACTGCAAAATTAGGACAATAGATACAAACCAGGCAAGGATCTTCACTAAAGCACTTACTTTAATATGGCAATTATTTACCTTTACCTATTTGTACCCACAAAAAAGTTAACAAACAAGCAAAAAGTGTATTTTGCTACCTGTGAATTAAGCCCAGAACAAGAAAGCATTAGGTTGGTTTTACATTCATCAGAATATCACAGACATATTTCTGACACTTACGAGTTTGTCTAGCTTCCTTTGGTAGCTGCATTTTGTTAATTTGACTGCTTCCTTCAAGTACAAAAACAAAACCTTTTACCTCCTTATCGTACTCCTATAAAGGAACAACAAACATAAACATCCTGACAGAATTCCTCTCCTTACAAACAGTCATACCATTAACATCCAAAGCTACTATTTTTTTTAAACACAGCAATCAAATTTGGCATATGGTACCCTGCATTGAACATGTGATAGCAGTTCAGAGGTGATAGTAATAATATCATCTGTAAAAACTTGTCCTTTACTCATACGTTTTATGAGCAAACAAGGATGATAAACTTAAGTCATGATCCAACGGGCCTAACACAATTCATTGCTTACTAGGACAGTAAAATTTAAGCTTTGATTCTCTCTAAATAATTAAGTTATAAAATTATCGTGCAACCACCCTAGTTTGCAAGAAGGTAAAAAGTACTAATTTAAGTGGTCATTTAGCCTGTCATTATGACAGAACTGCAAATGACAACTCCAGAGTCAGGTCAGAAACCTTATACTCTGAATTTTAGACGTTTTCTACAAGACTTACTTTCCATATAGCTGATGGATTGCCAGAAATCTTCCACTTTGCACCAGGATTCTTGCCTTGAGCACTGAATATTTCAAAATACGCACCACCCTGGAATAAAATAGTTTAAGGCTGCAACACCCAGCCAGGTTTTCAGCACAGCATCACCACTGAGCAAGCTGAGAACATTAGAACAATCCCTCCCCACATCAGAGACAGTACTACTGATCAGCAGCGTATAAGGCTGAGAATGGCTAGGGTATAATATTTAAAAAAAAAAAAAAAAAGAAGAAGAAGAAGAAGAAGAAAAGACTGGTGCTGTCCAGAGGTACCAACTGAGCAACCCTGTGCTGCACAGGGAGAATAAGCCAAAGCTGCTGTTCAGAATATATGTTAAAAGTCAGCACTGCTTCGATACCTGGGCTGGGAGAGGGTGTAGGGTGCCTTCCTTGGCCCATAAAGAAAGAAATAGGCAGAAATACCTCATTGGTATCACCGCGTCAGGGTCCACTTCATGCCTGACAGCATCAACTGTTTCACATAAAAATACTGAATAATTAAGCATTCCAAAACTTTTCTGCATTGGGACTATTTTCCCCCCAGTATATCCCACTCTGAGTTCGCTCAAAGGTAAAATCAAAGAGGTTTAACAAAAAGCCATTTATGTTTTACCTGATATTGATTTTTGAACATTTTTTCAGCTTTCGCACGGAAAAAATAATTTCAGCTTCTCACTCTGTAACGACACTCATAAACTTAGCTGCAAATAAACAAAAACGAAGGAACTTTATATAGGACTTGACAAGGAAAACAATCCTGCAGTGAACCTCTGCCCCCCTCCTTTTTTTAAAGACATAAATACTATTATTACACTTTATTACACACTATTACACTTAATGAGAATAGAATGTATGCCCACTGTATCAGAGGGCTACCACAAAGGAATTAAGTTCAAAAAATGAATAAATATTGATGTTTTCTCAGAAAAAATAAAGAGTTGCCCTTATGCACCAAGTACTCAGGGCTGCCTTTTCCTTACAAATAAAATCTGTAATTTTGTGATCAGCCCTTATTTTTAACAATAAGGACTTCCTCATGGTTTACAATTGCTTGAAATTCATCTGTTTTTTGTTCTTATTTATTGCTATCACGTGTCCACTGGAAAACACTAGAACTTTATTAAAGAGCAGCCTAACATTCATTATATAAAAATAGAAACACCTGGAAGAGCTGCAACAGAAACCACTTCATCTAGAGAGATCTGGCAGAGACTTCTTAGACAAATTATCTTCTTGCAAATTCAGCAATGTCCTTTGAGGATGATTAGTCTAAGACTGAAACCAAACACTTAAGTTATTCTGAGGATTGCTGAAGTCAAGATGAATTAAGGCATGCCTGTGGTTAGAGAATCAGAAGAGTAATGGGGATTGATACTGCAACTTCCCCACTTCTCTCTTTGATCACGCTGAGTGTTGTTGTTTTGCCTGAATTCAGCATAAATCGAAGGGACCATGAAAGGTGGCTGCCAATCTCCAAAGATACGTACAATCCAGATGCAGGAGACAACATGCACCTTCCCTGGAGGAACTGAGAGCGCTTGTCAACTTACCGAGAACATCCTTTCACAAGACTATGCCTCCAACTTACTTGATAAACCATGATTATGATTGCATTTCAAGTATAGAATACTTAAAAAGAAGGAAGCTGTTCTTATTTTTGTTGTTGTTTTAGCAGCCTGAAGCTGTTTTCACAGAGAATAAAAACAATGTATCCACCAGCAGAACTTAAGCATAGCCTCTCTTGAAGAACAACCTAGCTGATCTCTCAGTAAAAAAAGAGTAAAAATACATATTTAGAAACTATGCAATAGTAACAAGAAACTATGGGGTAATGAACACTTATTGAAAGATTAGGTATCTCACACCAATGCTAGAATCTTTTACTTTCAAATCATCAGTTTGTTAAGAAAAAAACTCTCCACCTACAATGCCATCTTCTCTTAGCTATTACTTTCCCCTCAAAGTAGAATATTTCACACAGGGATATAGTTTATTTCAAGGATACCTTGTGTGCACATATATCCAAAATTCTAATAGTTGCGCATTGTAAGTTATAAGGATATTTCACATACACTGAATACAGTGTATAGCAGAACTTTAGGCTTCTTTAAACTATTTAACACTGAGCTTTCAGGAAGGGAGGGATGACCAGGCTCATACGATCCTGAGAGTCTCAGCACAGTCTGCTCAGGCAAGCAGCTCCCTTGACTTAAAAGGGGCTGTTTACACAACCAAAACCCACTACGTAAGTGTATTTTCCTGACCAACTTTCCAGTAGTTGTTCAAGATATCCTATTCCAGAGACAGAAGTGTGAAGCAAAATAAAAATGAATCTGCACCAACTATTAATTTGTGTTGAAAAATGACACAAACACACTATTTTTGGCAGGAAACATTGGCTTAGACCCAAGACTGTTAATACATATAACTCACCATCACGGGCCCAAAGCCAGTGCTGATTTATGGCAGGCTGGGACACACCAGAGAAAGCAGTTCATCACCGATGAAGGGTT